TTTTTTAAGGTTTAGTGTTAAGACGGATGCTTTTGAGAATGAAAGGATTTTATTAATTGCAGTAGAGACCATATTTACATTCTTTAGAAATAAGGCAGTGTCGTCAGCACATTGACTAATTTTAAATTATTTATCAAGAATGTTTTTTCCTTCCACATCTGAAGAGAGTTTGATATTAATGGCATTTCTGCTGCAACAATAAACAATAACGGGCTAATAGGGCATCCCTGCTGAATGCCACGATTAATTTTAAAACTGTTAGAAAACCCTTGATTGAGAGCAATACTACTTGTTATATCTCTGTACAACATTTTCACTACACTAACAGATCTGGGACCCCACAGCCTCCAGAGCTTTAAATAAAAAATTATGCTCCAAAGAATCAAAAGCTTTAAAGAAATCAGGAAATAAAATAAGGCTATCATGAGGAATTAAATGATTGTAATCCAACATATCTAATACTAAACGGGTATGATGATGGATATGACGTCCTTTTATAAAGGCTGACTGTGTCTCATCTATTATTTGAGTTATTCCTGTTTTTAATCTGTTGGCATAGAGATGAGCTAACAATTTATAATCACAGCAAAGAAGTGTGATACGTCTCCAGTTATCTAAAAGGACAGAGTCCTTGTTTGGTTTAGGAAGTAAAGAAATGATTCCTCGTTTCACAGTTGGAGATAGCATCTGATTATTAATACACCCGTTAAATACCTCTAATAATAAATCTTTACTGTCACTCCAGAAATATCTGTAAAATTCAATCGTGGTTCCATCAGGACCTGGTGATTTACCACTCGCCATCTGGGAAACAGCAGCATCCAAATCTGTGAACATGATTATTTAAACACGTCTCTGCGGCTGACTCACTGCTGCCTCTGCTGGACATCAGGGGACCTGCAGCTGCTGCCTGTGTAGAAGCCTGTAAACCCTGTCGAGCAGAGCGCGATCAAGTCTGTGACTGTGGAGTCTGAGTGCAGTTAACTCATCGGCGTGTTCAGGAAACCAGCCTGAGACCATATGAGCTCTGACACGGAGCTTTGGCAGCCTGAGCCCAGGAGGCTGTCCTGACAAACAGCTGACTGCGATCATGTGACCTTGGGTCAGAGCTGCAGGTCGTGCTTTCATTCTGCCTGTGTTCAGCCTGATCCTCAGAAAACCTCCAAACACACCTCAGATAAATGTTTATAATGTTTCATGTTTTAAACATTATAAATAATATTTAATGTTCCTTCAGGTTGAAGGTTTCCGCTCAGAGAACAGAACAAAGCTTTGATTTGGTTCTTCGTGTCTCGTCTCAGTTTGGTGCAGTGTTTCCATCAGCTGAGAACACCTGACAGGTACGTCCTCTGACTGTCCACCTGTGTGCTGACAGGACACATACATCAACTGTAACCACACAGGTGAGGACGCGGCGGGAAACCTACCAGCAATAAAAACAGGAAGCACAACAGCAGTTACCAAAATAAAACAGGAAGCAGAAACACAGGCGAGACGAGGAGGATAAAAACCAGAAAAAGAACCACACACAGGAAGTAGAAACCCAAACTGTTCTGTGGTGGTAAAAGTCACCTGTTCACCTGCCGAGAGTCAGCTTCACCTCAGCCTGAGGTTGACTGCTGCTGCTGTTGGTGCTCAGACGAAGACGTCACATCAAAGCAGGACTGAAGCTCAGCTCCTGGAAACGTTTAATAGTCAGAATTACTCAAAGAAAGACTGAACGAAATCTAACAGCTGCATCAGTGCAGGCAGTGTCAGTGACGCAGTACTAGTACTTTTACTGCAGTAAAGGATGGCAGTACTTCCTCCTGACCGCAGCCTGTTTGTGTAGAAACGTGACGTGTGCAAGATCATTGAGCTGCAAAGCTGCGGCCAAGCACTTTCTATTCACACACACACACACTCACACACACACACACACACACACACTCACACACACACACACAGCTGCTGTCCTTTGGCTGTGGTACAGGCCTCTAAACGGGTTTCCGTTTATGTGAAGAGACTAAAACCTGATGAATAAACTGGCTGATCCATCTATTTATGAAGGTTAAAGGTCAACATGTCC